CAGTTCTTTATTTATAGATGAATATAGTACAAGGTACAAGAAATTACTGGGATGCCCCTGATTAGTGATGGGACACCCAGATGACTTAAATCATTAAACADGATTAGGCCCATTAACACAAGCCCAGTTACAAGATAAGTTAAACATAAGAATGAGCTAATAAGAACTCTTATCAGCCGAACATCACTCTAACATTCTAACAAGGAGGTGTCGTCATAAATTCCGAAGGCAGGGTGTTGGCCTTATATTGAGGACCTATTGGAGTTGGAAATTCTTTTAAAGCAAAATTATGTGCATTGTTGAAAGGATTTCAATTAGCAAAACAACTAGGATACCAACAAGTGGAGGTGGAAGAGGATTCTAAGATAATTTTCATGTGCAAGATGTAGCAATCATGTTCCGTGGAGTTCCAAAAAATGTTCCGTTGACTTTCAAGCATGCCTTTAGGGAAGTCAAAAGTATCTCTAAGGAACTAAATACTGAATTTAAGTGGGTTAGGACTGCCAATGGGATGGCTGATACCCTTGCTAAACAGGGGGTCATGAGACAGCAACTTTTTTGGGCTTTGCTATAATTGTTTTAGTCGTTTGGGTTGGCAATCTTTTATCACTTTGTACTGAACTCTCTCTTTTCAATTAATAAAATAAAATTTTCTCACTGATCAAAAAAATAATTTTGCTCAAGAGTCATTGTTCGAATAATGACTCTTTGGAGATTGGATGCTTAGTCAGTTTACTCTGCCTTCTTGAGAAAGTTTGTTTGAACCCCTCTGAACCTGACAAAAGAATTTGGGCACCTCGATCAAAAAGATTCTTCTCTTGTGCTTCTTTTTTCAAATCCCTTTGCTGTTCTAACCCTCAACAGGCCTTCCCTGTTAAGGAAATTTGGTGCAGATCTGTTCCCCCTAAGATTTTGGCTTTTCGCTGGGAAGTGTACTATGGGAAAGTAAATACCTTGGACAATCTACAAAAGAGAAGACCTTTTCTCTGTATTTCCCCCAACTAGTGCATCCTTTGCAGAGCTCAGAGTGAGGACTGTTATCATTTGATAATTTCTTGTTCCTACAGCAGAGTTATGGGATTGACTACTCTCTTTGTTTGGGAGCAGTTGGAACTTGCCAGCAGATTTAAGAATGTTTTTTGATCCCTCTACTTTTGTTTGGCAGCAGAAAAGGGGTAAATCATGTGGAGGTGTGCAAGAGATGCATTGATATGGACAATTTGGGAAGAAAGGAATGCTAGACTGTGTCTTGGTTAGGATGATTCATTGGCTGAAATCTTTGGACTTGTTCCACCAATTCTCCTTTAATGACATTTGGAGGAATTGGGCAGCAGTGGCAAGTTGTTCCTCTTCCAAGACTAAAGTGAGAACAAGCTGGTCATCACCTCCTGCAGGCTTCTTGAAGTTGAATTTTGACAGAAGCAGTCTAGGAAACCCAGGCCTTTCTGGGTTAGGTGGGGTATTGAGGAATGAAGTTGGGAATGTGATACTTATCTTCTCAGGTCCTTTAGGAGTGGGAGACTCTACTAGAGCAGAATTGTTTGCTGCCCTGCAAGGTCTACAGTTTGCAGCTCAATTAGGGGTGGAACAGCTCAAAGGCCGTAATAAGCTGGTTGCGGGACCCAGAGTCAGTAGTTTGGTGCTTCAGGAATGAAATTAAAAAGTTTAAGGTGCTGACAAGAAACATGGACCTAAGAATACAATGGGTGGGGAGATCAGAAAATGCTATGGTGGACTGTCTAGCCAAGCAAGGGGCAGCTAGGGAAGTTTTGTATTGGGCACAACTGCAACTTATTGTTTTTTGTTTTCTTCCTTAGTGGAGAGATCGCAGCTCGCGCCTCTCCAAGGGTTGCTTGTATGTGCTAATATTTCCAAATTAATAAAAGGTTCCATTTATTTATCAAAAAATAATAACGACTCTTTGGAGCAAAATTTTAACCAAAAATAGCCTTAACCTCCAAGCACATCTATGGTTCTTACCACATGAAGCAATCACCGGGAGCTCTGGATGTCTAGCTATGGATCTAATACTTCCAGAACACTTTCCTACAAAGCATCCCAGCAATTTCCCTAAAAAACAAAAACACCATGATTAGTTATTTGTCAAACTGAAACTTACCACTAATAACCAAAAAAAGGATAAGCAATGCCAGGATAAAGCATGTCATAAATAGGAACCTGAAAAAAATGAATGTAAATAAAAACAAAAAATTATCCTCCGTATTCAGACAGTTCACCAAAGCATGAATGACATTGAGCACCCTGAAGACAATAATATTGAGCATTTGTAGCTTATACTGCACAGCATGAACTTTATTATTTTGCAAATGGCAATGTAACCAATTTTACTTGCACATTGTTGAGAGATCAGTTCAGATATGTTTTACTGCTTATTTCAGTTTCGGCTGCTGTTATAGTCATATAGTTACTGGTTTATTGTTTTTTATTAATGCTACCCTTCCATTTCCGATATAAGCATCAGAGGTATTATGGTCATTGCATCTGTTTTATTTCTTATTATATATAAGAGAAAGAGAGGTCGCAGCAGAACTTTTTACCTCTCCAAAAAAGGTCTAATTTGAGTTAGAGGGTCAAAATGGGTAACCTGAGTGGCAAATGGGTTAGTGGGTCAGTATGGGTGGGTTGGTACTCAACACACACCAAACCCAACCCAACCTACCCATTGCCACCCCTAATTGATTGCTATTGCTCACTGCTTAGAAGAAGAGAGAGAATCAATATTCATACCCTGAAGTTTACCCTCATATCATGTCCAAAATTTCTCTCTATTGATTGCTATTGTAGTTGTTCACTGCCTACAAGAAGAAAGAAGGAGACCAGAGCAAGAATCTATATTGAAGATAACGGTCTTACTTAAGGGCAACCTTGGCATTTAAAAAAGTTTAGAGAATGACATCAGCATTTTTCTGTTATAATTTTAACGTCAACATAATGGAAAAGGTGTAAATCCCACTATGTCAGAAACATCAGGAGATTTGACTGCCACATAGTTGTCAAGGCAACGCCTAGCAACAAGGCACCCTTGGAGGCTCACCTCGCCTAATTGCCAATCAGTTTTATACATTGAGTCATAAAATACTTTTATATTCTTAATTTTTTGAGATTATAATTATAAAATAGACATTATTAAACTAAAGAATTCATTTTGTGTGTTTATATACTAATTCTTTTTACTATTTTCTTATTTGTTAGGGTTTAATCAACACAAACATAGCTAAATGTTGTACTTAACCCTCAAAGACTTCAAAACCTGAACCAATAAGTAAGGAAGAACTTAAAATTTTGTCTAATCAACACATTATCTTCTTCTTCCACTTTTTCTTTTCTTCTTTTCCTATAATAAAATAGGGGTTCAGCCTCCATATTTTTTGAATTTTCTTTTCTTTCTTCTTTTTCTTATGAATATGTTGATTTTCTATATTATTATGGAACCAAGGAAACTACCCTAGGACTTAAAAAGTCCATCACCTAGACGATGCCTTGATGGCTTGAAAACTAGGTGACAAGGCACCACCCTGTCACCTAGCCTCATCTTGATGCCTTGAAAACTATGTTGATTGCTAATAGAAAACTTCACAGTATGATTCCGAAACTTCAGGGGAAGTCTCAGCAATATACCCTAACAAATATGTGGTACATAGCAAGACAGAATTAGTGATACCATACAGGGAATGTCACATATGATAAAAGATACCTGTGCGCATGTCAATAGAAGCAAGGTCACCAGAGCCAGTTCCTAAATAGATGGTATAGCCATCCAAATCTTCTGTGACAGCTTTAATTGGGGACTCCCTGAAATTAAATGAAATTATAGGTCTTCTCTGTGCAGATATGTCATAAAGGCGAACCTGTGACGGATGGAAATTAATAAATGTTATCAGAATCCACAATTGGACAAAAGCTTCTGAAGAAGTTTAACTAGGGCATTTTTAGTGGATGAACTTCTATCTACCGTGTGAGAAGAGAACAAAGTAACAAGTCAAGAGTAACACAATGGCACTTTCTTTTGATAAATAACAATCCAATTTTATTAAAAGATGGACATGAAGTACATTATGCCTGTAAATGGGTCGAATTCGAATCGAATCAGGCCATATTCGAATTCGATTGTACAAAATAGAAAACACAAAAGAAAAATAAAAAACCCAGAACAACCAAGTTGTGATCTTCCCTGGCACGTTAATGGCCTCCATGAAGTTTTAAATGCCGGCATTCTGTATGTCCCTTGCTTCTTATTTTAACAATAAGATCATCCTTAGAGCAACCAGTCCCTATTCTGTATCTCCGATTCAGTTTTGAGTCTTTCAACAATTAAGCATAGAGGTAGAACAAAAATGAGAGATTGAAGAGTTCAGGTTTTATCAGAACTGCAACAGAGGAAGAAGGTAAAGATGAGAGGAGAAAAGATAGACGAAAGTGGTTTCATCGAAAAATGAAAAGAGGAAATACAAGGGCAGTAGGATTTGTTGAGATTTGAGATCAAGACTCAAGAGAAAAAGGGATGTGGTGGTTATTGAGAGTTGAAATGATGTATTTTCTTACAAGCAAAAGAATAAGGTGACAGGTATAGCAGCATAAAACACTTACTACTTTTTGTAGGTAGGTATTCAGGTATAGGTGTAGGATAGGATACGTGTAAGAACTAGAATCAATGATAATTAACACATAATATATTTATATATATAATATTATTATTCTATTTGAATTCAATTTTTTATCGAATCAGATCGAGGCAAATTCGAATTTGATTCGACTAATTAAATGGTAAATATGTCATATTCGAATTAAATCGTTTATAACATTCGAATTCGAATTCGATTACAGTATTTTTTGAATTCAAACTCGGATTTTCAAATATCATTTACACCCCTAAAGTAAATATGTACAAAACGCCCTCAGTTTAGGTAAACTGGTAGAAACCATCTCTGAAACAAAGCAACCACAACCAATCTAACTACATAACATACACTCAAAAAGCAAAAGAAAATGAACTGCTGAAATTTTTCAATTACTTAATCCTTTTTTGTGGTAGGTGCTCGAGCTTGGAGGACCCTAGCATTTATGTTGATAAAAATGAAATTATTACTTAATACCTACAAATTGCTTAAGGTGAAAATAACATTTCTATGATTGGGAAACTTAAATGCACCCAAGAGTTGTCAAAAAAGTGTTCCCACAACACTGAAAGGTCTTCACAAAAAAAAAAAAGTTCCCAAGGGTAAAGAAAAATTGATGAGCATATTACCTGATGATTGTTTGTCCCAGCTACAATTTTACGATGATCCTCTTTATCAAGGAACGTTGCAGCAGTAAACCAAGTTGGAGTGAATATATCAAGGCTGTTTTTTGGAGGCTTCACAGAGACCAAAATATAACAAACTAAACTTCACATTTAATAGCTTGAAGAAAGTAATGAAAAATTGTGTGCAATGATGAAAGTGAAGAAGAAAAGAAAAGCAAGATAAAGAAGAAATGCTCACAGATCTTGCAGTCCAAATCTTACTAGACTTGTCAAGGTCCCAGACATTAATTTCAACCCCCTTCCTGAATTTAAAAAAAAAACAGAAACCACTGTTCCCCCTCAGAATTGGATAAAATACAACAATCCTCTTAGGGTGTACTCCAGAATTTCGATGGACAAGTTCCTCAAGCTTAAATTAGGAGACAAAAGTCATAGTGATGCAAACAAAACACTTATACAATTCAGAACTCACCCTCCAAATAACGCATGGTTTTCGCTTCCATCCACAGCAGAACAAAAAATCTCACCAACTGCAGATATACTCCATGTTTTTGGAGAAGTACACAAAGACCCTGAAAGTGAATTAGTAATTCCAATGGACTTCAGGCTTGCATTTCCTTTCTTCGTACATGTTAGCAATGTGAATAACCTGGAAACAGGAAGTAGATTAAACAAATAATTACAACTCATGAACAATGCAAATGGAATCAAGAAAATGCCAGTTATACAAGAGCTACCCCGATTTACTAAAAAAATGGAGTATCTACCACCTTCGTACATGTTAGCAATGTTGCAAACACATTTTAATCAACTACAATTACCAGAGAGGATTACAAGGAAAACCTTAGTACGGTTTTAACTTCTTTTATAGTATAGAAAATTTATTTTAGAAGAGAAGAACAGGTGATGAGAAACCACCCCACCCCAGAAAATAAAACTGAAAACTAAACAACCAGCAATCTTAAAAATAATTAGATTACATCTTAAACCATTTCCTATGTAGACCAGAAATCAGAACTAAATGAGGTTCTTTGGACATAAATAAATTCTGGATGCACTAGAATACAATCCAAAATCTAATTTCTTTCTTTTTTTTATGAACAATAGAAAAGGATTTTATTAATAGAACATCATAATCAAAATATACAAAAGACATTTCAAGGGGAGTCACGAGACGCAACCTCATAAAAAGCGCCACCTTATCCCAGAAAAGATTATCCCTATGCACCCCTTGCTTAACTAAAGAGTCAGCTATTCCATTAGCCGACCTTCTTTCCCAATGAATTCTTATTGTCATATTGGAGGTCAACCATTTGAATCATTTCATGGCTTCCCTATAGGCCCAAACAACAGTATCCACATTGCTTAGCCAACCAATTATCAGCTTAGAATCCCCTTCAATTAGCAGTCTATCAATGTTCAGCTCTCTAGCAAGTTGTGTCCCCTGTAGAATAGCTTGAAACTCAGCTTGAATAGTCCCCCTGATAGGAACCACCTATCCAGGAATCCTCTTCAAGGGGAACTCTTCCTCCTTAGAAATTTAGAAAAATAGACAAGAGAAAGAAGAAGATTATAATTGCCAAAGTTCATGCGCTGTTATTCTATTCAAGCCTATTTATAAGTGGTTACAGGTTTGGATCACCATCTGACACTAGCGCAACTAACTACTGACGTGCCTGACATGGCTGGCGTGCATAAACTTGTTTGTATGGGTGCATCAGGTGCTTGTGCAAGGGCTTGGTTGGGCCACTGAAGGTAACAGGGGAGGGCACGGGCCAGTTCAGGTCCTGGTTCACTGGCCCATTTCTATCATCACTTCCCCTTTTGAGTTGGACCTTGTTCTCAAGGTCATTGTCACCAAACTCTTTCTACAGCTGATCAAAATTTTCCTAAGTGGCATCTTCCTCTGGTAGGTCTGTCCAAGTCACCAAGGCTTCAGTCACCACTGAGTTGCCATTCTTAACTTGTCCAAATCCAATGATTTCCTTTGGTTCTACCAGGAGCTTGCCTTTGAAAAATTTTGGTAACTAGGAGAAGCTAGAGACTACTTCCCCAATGTGTTTCTTAAGCAAAGCCACATGAAATACTAGGGGGATGATGGCCGTTGGGAGCAATTTCAAAATGCATAGTCAACTACCTGTAACAATCAAGGCATAGGAATGCCCTGTCTGAGTGTATTCAACTAACCTTGACAGACCAAGTTAAACTAGGCATCAGTCAACTGAATAGGAAGAGTCAGTCAATCGAAGGAGAAAAAAGATTCCTCCCTTTGTCTAGTAGGCAACTATAAGAATATAGTAGTCAATTACTTCAAAGAAATTTGACCATTTGAAGGCTTAAATGGCTATTGTTATCTTTGACAAACCTTCTATCATGTTGGAGATATTTTGAATCATTATTGTGTTTAGTAAGACACCTCCAATGACTAGAAAATGGTCACTTGCTCTCCAAACCTCCATAAATAGAGGTCTCTAGCTTGATTCAAGAACAAGAAGAAGAAGAAAAAAAGAAAACCTAAGTTATTAGTGTACAAAATCTTTAGTTTTTTTGTAGACAGTAAATTAGCAAAAGTCTTTATCTTCTTTGAAGAGATTTTTGAGTTTCAATAGTTTTTAGAGGTGAGTAAAGCTGAGAAGCCATAGGGCTCATACATTCTCACCCATCTATTGAGAGTCTCTTCACTGAAATGATCATCTCAAATTTATACTCTTGCAACTGAATAGTTGTTGTGTTATATCTTCTTATACTTGCCTATTTTAGAGGCTTTGAGTCCTGCTATACTTGTAATATCTTTGAGCGTAGGAGGTGTTTTAGGTTGAATCCCATTTAAGGTTTGGTAGAGACCTTGAAGATCTACTATGTCAGGTTCGGCAAGCACCCATGAAGTTTTTCCAAGTTTGGGTAGCACTCAGAAGCCTATCCAAGGTTGTAGGAGCCTTGAAAAACCTATAGTGAAAGGTGTTGCTAGCACTTGGGATTTTAGCTGTTTGTTTAGTTGTGTGCCTTTCGTTGTGCTTTCTTTGCTTTATCTTTTCTTTACTTTTCAAGTTTCAGCAGTTACTTTGCTACTAATATTTACCAACTCTTTTGCTAACTACTCAAACTTGAATATTTGAAGATCTTGCAGTTATTGCACATTACTTTGTTTATTTTCTTTTGAATTGCAAAACACAAATATCTTGGTGCAGTTAATAAACTACTAACTTTACTAACCCTACTAACTGCACTAACATCTTTGATTAATTTCGCTAAAAAAAAAATCTTTGATTAACAGTTTAAGTGCTTTATTGTTTACTAACTTTCACCAACTACTAACCACTAACATTTAACTACTTTTCTTTTACATTTCTGCAGTTATTTATAATCATTGCTTTATTTATTATTCAACTACACTATCTATGTTCAACATTTAAATTGTTCTTGAGATTCCTATAGCAATTCTTTTTATTTTATTTATCATCAATTGCTTGAATCTCAAGTTTTCATTTCTAGTAGTTAGTCCTTCTCACAGCTACCATCTCATGGCTGATCTCCAGCTACAAGAATTGACACACACATCTTGTGCAACTGCCATTTACACCTTAGCTCATTTACCTTTCAATTACCTTTACACTTCAATAGTTATTTGAATTTATTGTTAAATCTTTATTTAACTATTCATTCCACTAACCTGCTTAGCAGCTTCTATATTCAATTGTTCTACTTACTTTCGGTTGTTATTTACTTTCTAGCAGTTACTTGTATTTATTGTTCTATCTTATTTAACCGCTAACCCCTACAGCCCTTGTGCTTACTCTGTTATTTTGTTTAAATCTACAGTTCATCATTCAGTAGTAGGTTAATCATATCCAAGTTGATCATATTTTTTTTATAATTGAAATAATTTTATTAATCAGCAATAGACAATAGTACAAATTCCCCAAGGAAAGGCACAAGTTAAAACCTCTCCGGGCTAGTTAAGTACAGATTTCCAAATTAATAACAACTCACAAAGAAGCACAAAAAAGATCTTCCCTAGAAACCCCCTGTTTGGCTAAAGCATCAGCCAAAGAATTAGCAGACCTACTAACCCATTTTACCTCAACTCTCATATTGCTGGTTAATATTCAAGTTGATCATATTGATCAATCACCTAATTAACAGCTGAGTATTCTGACTAAGCCATTGTTCCGCTGCATTTTGCCTTGAATCCTCAAGAAGGCTTAGTTTCTTGGGGGAAGATTTAGGCTTGAACTAATCAAGTTTTAAGCTATAGCCAATCAAGTTTTAAGATTTAGGCTTAAAGAGAGGCCTTTGGAGTCTACAATCTAGACATTTAGATGTTAAGCATCTTAAATGCTATTACTCTATATGATGATTGCAAAATGTATAGTCCAATACAAAAATCAGTTAAGAGGAGCATGAATAATTACCTAGATAAACAGATTATAATACAACCCATAACAATAAAAAAATAATAATAATAAAAAAGTTTAAGTACCACGCCCCTGGAATTGATATCAACACAAAAGAACATTGTTCCATCATCATATTGGAATTGATAGTAATTGCTTTTTTTATCAGTGTGATGGTAAGTTCTGTTCAAGAATCAGAAACTGTTAGAAACTCAAAATTAATACCTGGATGATGACTCCAATCTCCCTTTCTTAAGTAAATGCAGTCCCGCGATAGGGTCATCTTCAGGAACATGAAGACCTCCATCACCACCTTTGGTTATTGTAACAAGTGCATCCCCATTTAAAGGATTAAGAACTTCAATCTGTAGTTGAAACTCATTACCAAAAATCACCTCCTATGAACTCAAAAATGCCTCAAGACAAAAGTGGGGAAAGAGCACGACTAAAGTACAAATCTGAAAAAAAAAAAACGAACTTCCATTCAGGAAGAAACTCACCAGACCATTTTTCCTTGCAACAGCCAGCAACTGCAAAAGCGTTCCGAAATATTAACAATTTGCGCCGAATTAAACAAATAGCTCTGAACACTTCATTCAAACTCAATTTCCAAGAATAGGGATAGGGTCTCCATTAATCAGCAGAACTAGCTATGCAAAGTCAAGATTGTTCAAGGCAAAGAGCAACAAACCGGGTCGTCTTTACGGTCGTTGATGGAAGCAGCAAGCACGCAGCGTGAAGAATCGGGTTCGCCCCATCTCTCGATCACCTTTGGAATTCCTTGTTTCCCACGAGATTCAACAACTGCTACCACAAAGAGAATAAATGACGAGAAGTGTTAGTATTAGAAAGATTTTTTACTCTCTCTCTCTCTCTCTCTCTCCACACCGCGCCTGCACACACCTTTAACCAGGCCAAGCACATCGAAAGTTAAGGCTCTGATTGGAGGGCAACCAGGGCACTCCACAGTACTGGTTCGCGGCATGGTATCCTTCTCTGTTCTTTACAGACCGACCAAGAGAGAGAAGCGGCGTCGGGGGAAGGGCTGAGGTTTTGTATACTACTCTTTACGGACAGACACTTGCTATGGAGTTAGTCGGTCGCCCGCCAACCCTGCCACGGTTCCAGAGTCGCGAGATCAAATCCGCAGACACGCGGGCGTAGCGACGTTAGCCACAATTTCACACGGGCTGGGCCTGAATTTTTCCTCATGTTAAGCTAAATCTAACCCTTACGTAGTTTGAGCCTGAATCTTCGATGTTAGGCAGGGTCTAAGGCTATGTTTGGGAGTGCCTAAAATTCGAAATAAGTACTTATTTGGGTCAGACCACACTGTTAAGCACTTGTTGGTATTTGGGAAATAAGTCTGAAATAAGTATTTATTTTAAAAATAATGGCTTATTTTTTAAGCCCAAATTTTCAACTTTTTTAAGTGTTTATACAATAAGCACTTATTCAATGTTTTTCTTTCAAAATTATCCTTAGTTAGTGCTTTCATAAAAGTATTTTTATAAAATTACTTTCGTAAAAGTGATTTCATAAAATTGCTATTATAAAAGTGTTTTTGTAAAAATACTTTTATAAAAAGTGCTTTTATAAAATTCGAATGAAAATGAATGGCAAAACAGTCACAAATGCTTATTTAAGTGCTTATTGGATAAATAGACTACCAAACGCCCAATATGAAATAAGTGCTTCTTTTTTAAAAGGGCAAATTTCTTAAACTATCCCTACTGTAGCTAATTGACTAACTATACCCTTACTATTTAACTATTGTCTTGCACCACCCCTACTTTTTTGACAATACCTAAACCGTTCACATGTGACATCACGTGACTATTATATTTTTCAAAAATCCCTAACTTACCCTTTTATGGTTGACAATGCCCTTTTCAATTTGCCCTCTCTAAAGCTTGTAGCCTGTAAAAGGGAATAGTCAACGACGACGGAGGAGGTGCCGATCCGTACGCTATTGTTGCTGGCAAAGTTGAAGTTTTCGAGAAATTTTGATATGGGTATGTAAGTTTCAGGCCACCAAAGAATTGTAGAAGACCAAAACCAAGGTATGTAGATTTGATCTTGGTGAGAGAAAGAGCTCAAATAATGCCAGTTTTTAGCACCATAGAGGCAAATGTGGGTGATCTTCTGTAACTGTAGGAACAAAACCAGGGCCGTCAGAGATAAGAGGTTGGAAACGTCAATACCTACTGATGTTAACTCCCACAAAAGGCGGGTCATCATCTTGTCTCTTAACATCTGTTACTAGTGTCGCCTCTGCTACAACAACCAGTTGATAGAAAAGAGAGAGATGAGAAAAGTGGTCTTTGATGACGAAAAATCTCTCTTTAAATTGGGAGTATTTAGTGGGTTTTACTTTCAAGAATCCTCATCCATGGTATTGCTTCATTCCTCTTCAGTTTCACCTATGTGTCCCCTTCTTTTGTCTCCTCGTTCTCTTTCTTTTTATCGAAATTCCATTTTCTACTCTAAACATCAAAAAGTCTATGTCTATCTTAGCCTTTTCTGTTCCCAGTGCTCTTCTCAAGACCGACGAGGGACAATGTGTATCACAAGAACCATAATGTTTGTAAATGGGTTCATACAAATTTGGGCTATGTTGTTGATCCAAACGAAAACCATTGCAGCAAGATAAATCGATTTAGATTTAAAATTACAATGATAATAAGTCAACAAGAAGAGATTATGCTCTAGGACGGACAACAAAGATGGAGGCAGGAGACAGAAAAACGGAGATGGAGGCAAAGGCGGAGATGAAGACAGAAATAGAGATGGAGACGAAGATGAAGACTAAGGTAGAGATGAAGACGGAAACAGAGACAGAGGTGAAGATGAATATGAAAGGCTTCTTATCTTCTTGAAATTTGGGTTTTATTTTGAAAAATTTAGGAATAGTGGAGGGTAAATTTGACATTTCATTTTTTTAGCACTTAATGACAATATCAATTGTCAAGAACAGTAGGGGTGGTTTAAGAAATTTGTAATAAGCACTTGAAAAAGTTGGGTGCCAAATGCAAATAAGTGCTTATTTGAATAAGCACTTGTTTTTAAGCACTTATTTTTAATACAAATACTCCCAAACATGGCCTAAATCCCTAACCCTTACGTAGCTTTTTTTAGCAAAAGAAGTGAGTCTTTTTTCATTCAAAACAAAACCCAGCATGTAGGGTTGTAAGCGATTCAATACTATTCGTGAGCCACTTGAATTCGACTCGATGAATACCCAAATTCGACTTGTTGATGGTCAAGTTCGAGTAACTCGAATGGTGAAACGATTCGGTACTCAAGAGTCTGAATACTAGGCTCAATGGACTCACAAGCCTATTCGAGTATTATATATATATATATATATATATAATATTTAATCCCTTAATTAGACCCTGCTTGGATAGACTTTTATAAAGTACTTTTGTACTTTGAAAGTATAAAAGTACGAAAAACACGACATACTGTTTGTATTGTGTACTTTATACTTTTTGCTTTCATACTTTTAAAAGTATGAGAAATCCCAAAAGTTCAAAGCCAACTTTTATACTTTGTGTTTTTGGACAAATTGTGCTTTTGTTTTCGTGCAAACAAGTGGTCACATGTGACCACCCTTCGATAAAACTCTCGACCTAACCTCCTCTTGCCACTGCTAGAATCAGATTACCATCATTAGTCTCAAACCCCGAAACCACTGGAAACCGTCATTGGAAGTACAAATGAGCATGCTTTTACCAAACAGAAAATGGTACTTTTGTTTTGGAAAGCATACTTTTCAAATTTTTTACCCAAACGAATTTCAAAGAAAAAATAACAAAGTAAAAGTATTTTATGTACTTTATACTTTGATATTTTTAAAAGTACAAAAAGTAGAAGTCTATCCAAACATCACTATTTTCTTCCCTCCAAAAAGATCATTCAATAATCAATTCTAGCCTTCTAGTTATTGTTTCTAAGTTCTAACAAAGTAAGTCTTTAGAGCTTTTAGACTCACTACCATCGGTGCACCACAATGCTGCCGCACAACCGCAAAACCCCCTTCTCTGGTTAATCGAGCTCCAGCATTCTAGTCGTAGTAACTACTCCACTTGGTCTCTATAGTCTAGAATCTGTTCTCCTTCTCAAATCCCTGCTTAATCTCCTATGATTTTTGAAACCACTGAACCTCAAACTTGAGAGTTCACTATCGTCGGTCTGCCGCAACACCCCTCAACCACTCCACCCAGTCTTTGGATCACCGAACCACAGCTCGAGCATTCACTATCATCGGTTTGCCGCAACACCCCCTTCTCCGATCTCTGAACCACCAAATGGTAGTTGCATCTATCATCTCCGATGTTGATACTTTGTATTAAGGTAAGTGCATGTGCTTACTCAACTCCGAGGCTGAATGTTATAAACCATTCCATTGGCTGATTTGATTCTCAAATTTTTCTTCATTATTTCAATCAATTTTCATATTATATTAGATGTCTGAGATGTGATGCTTTTATTTCTAGATTAGTTCTTAGTATTTGCTTTGTTGTGTTCATTTCAAGACCTCATCCAAAGCATTATTCCATTTTCATCATATTTGTTATGTTTTTAATTGATAATTCAAATTTCATGTTATACTTTTAACAACAGTTTATTTGAACTTCAATGGATCAAAAGCTGATCTTATTACAATTTCATGAAGCAATTAGGGGCTACATGTCAAAAGTTTACAATTCCATGAAGCAAAATGATCAAAATCTTATCTTTTTCAAATAGTGATTCTTTACTCTAAAAAGGAGCCATTCTACAAGCTTGGTTCTGTAGTTTGGACTTTGGAGATAATCATTTTATGGATATCACTTTTGTTTTGTTAGTAAAGTTGTGGATGCTACACTTTTGGAGGTTTGTTCATAAGGGAATATGGGAACTCGAGTTGTTGTAGTGGTTTCAGCATTGTTTGGACAACTAGTTTAATAGTTCAAAATTGTGATTGAAATTCATGTTGTGGATAAGACTTGTTCACATTTGTGAGCTGATGTCTTGGGAGGCAAATCTTTTGTATGATTTGTTTTCTCAAAGGGGGGGATCTATCTTTGATAAAGAACCTTGTTTCTAGTGTGGAAATAATCCTTTTATGACTACAAATTTGGTAATATGGTCAAAAGGTTTATTGCCCTTTTTAATTCTAGTTTCTTATTTAGGTTGGAGGTCTTTTGTAGTCTAAGGGGTAAGGATCATTGCTTGGTGCAAAGGCAAAATATGGGTCTGACAAGTGTAAGAATGCTTGTTCCAGTTTCTTTTTTCTTTTTCCTTTTATTTGTGTGTGTGCACAAATTGGCTGCTCTTAGATTTGAAATTGTGTTATCATGCTTGTTAGCCTGTAAAATCACCTTGGATGTTTTTTGGACTAAATTATAAACCACTTTTATAATAGGTATGCCATCTACTCCAAGAGAGAGTTCTTTTACACCAAATCAGCCAATAGAGAATTCATTTGAAAGTCAAATTGAATTGGACAACACTAATGCAAGAGCATCCATTAATTCCACAAATGAAATTGGAGAGGAAAATCAGGAAGATGATGAGAATGGTAATCTATTTGAAAAGAAAAAAGGACAAAAGGCATCTAAAGTTTGGAAGGAGTTCAAAGAAGTGGAGCTTTCAGATGGTTCTAAGAAAGCAAAATGTGTCAATTGCAAGTCAAAGCTTTCTATCATTGCAACCAAGTGTGCAAGTCACTTTAAAAGACACTTGAAGATTGTGTGGGGTAAAAATTGCATAAAAAACAACAACAACAATAGAGAATTAATTTTCAACCAGTGGATGCAAATTGTGAGACAAATTCATTTTCTGCACTTATAGATGGCAAAGATGAGAGAGGCAACTGCACATTGGGTATTAATGCATGAGCATCCGTTTTCAATAAAAATGGAAAGGATATCACATAATACTAATAAAAATGATTGTGTAAAGGTGTACAACATAGAAACAAAAAAAGAAATTGAGGACAATTTTGAAGAATGTCAATAGGATTAGTTTGACAACAAATTTGTGGAAGTCAAAAAATCAAAAGATTGAGTACATGGTTCTTACAGGGCACTTCATAGATTATAATTGGAAATTGTAGAAACGTGTCCTTAACTTTGTACTATTTTAGTTGATAATGTTTCAAACAACGATGCAGCAATATAGATTTTGAAGGATAATTTCTCAAG